ATACTTTTAGACATTCTTGGTTTTTAGTTACGAGGGGGAATTTGTCCTGCATTCCTCACTTTATGGAGATTCCTTCTATATCTTGGGATATATTGAGTCTCAAAAAATTGGGTAACTGTATTCATTAACCATCAAAGTTGAAAAAATAATTTTCCCCGTATATTCAAAAATTATGAAGTATTAGTAAAACTACTTGGGAAAAAATTTATAGACCATGATAATGAGACTACATGCTCAGTTTCATTTATTTCCAAAATTATTTTTTACATCAAGAAATATGAAATAATATCCAGAAAAAACATCAAAAACGCTTAACAATTTCTGGAAATATACTAAGTGACATATAAATCCGAACACCCAGTTTAAATGGTTTTATTTTAATAAAAGTTTGTGAATGTATTTATCTTACTGTAAATAACAAGTGAAAAAATGTTCAGCCTTATCAGTTGGACATTCCGGTTTTTATACTGCTTTTTTTTAATTCACTAACTCTCTAAAAATGAATATTTCAGCCGCAGTAAAGAATCAACGTTGGCGGATTTTGGTTCTTGACATCCTTTGCGATCGGTTACGATGCCTAGAGTACGGAGACCTGTACGATTTCGTCAACCTAGTGAGTTTGTTAGGGGCCGTATATTGGGACTTCGGAAAGCTGGACTTTCTTTTCGGGCAATTGCAGTTAGAGTGCAAAGAAGTGAGGACACTGTGATTAGGTGTTGTCAGGCATAGCTTCAAGAAGGCCGTACGCAAAGAGCAACGGGCACTGGACGCCGCCGTAGAACAACAGACCGTGAAGATCGCCGCCTAAGATTATTGGCCTTAAGGGACCGTTTCTCCACTACCAGGTCCAATGCAAATGAATGGTCTGCAGAATACGGAAGACCTATTGGGATGCGAAGTGTTTACCGACGAATGAGAAGTTTTGGCTTAAGTGGTGCAGAGACGGTCACTCTGGGATCAGGAATGGAACAGTATTGTCTTTAGTGACGAGTCTCTATTTTGTTTAGGCATGCACGATGGTCGTGCCAGTATTAGAAGGCGACGTGGTGAAAGGAGGAATCCACAGTTTTTTGTTGAAAGACATGTTCATCACACTGTTGGAGTTATGGTTTGGGGTGCTATAGCTTATGGTTCCAGGTCACGCCTGGAATGAGACAGGAGGACATTCACCACCTGATCAGAAGCATGCCTAGGCGCGTTGAAGAATGCGTAGCACATCAGGGTGCATCCACACATTATTAAAGGTCAAAGGGCTTTAAAGCAGTGCAATCATTTTGAAATTTTTATCATTTACTTATTATGCTTCATTAAGTACTTATACAAAATTTTATTAAAATAAAATCATTTAAACTGGGTGTTCGGGTTTATATGTCACTTAATATAAGATAAAACTTCCTAGTTTTCTGAATAAAGGCGAGAAAGCAATTTTTCAAACTACTTAACCGAGCAAAATGCTTTATTTGTTGCCAGTTAAGACTGAGATGAACAAACAATAAAAATATAGGCAAACTTCGCAATTCCTTCGCATTCAGTCTTAGTACATCGAGCTTCGGAAATTGGACTTTCGCTACTAATCTTGGGTGGTCACCGGACAGTGACTAAATGGTAGACAGTGGTTAGTTAGACCGTATGAAATGACAGACTTTAGTTCAGGTCCTGTGATGGGAAAATTTTCCGGGCACACTCACCAGATGCCCCATTACCTGCAACGAGTATTCATTTGTGACTTCTGATCCCTGAATATAGGTTTTCAAGTGATGAACAATTCGCGTATTTAGAACAATGAACAAATTTTAGGATGCCTCAATAGGTATCGTGAGCATTTGAACTCGAAATTCTCGGAATTTTAACCGTACTTTTTTCGTTATGTTTGACCACCAACCATATCAGCTCCGAGTAGCGGGAGCAAAATTGGACATCGCTGCCTCAATATCATCAGGTAATTCAGGTTATCACCCCTGTTCGCGACATTCCAAGTGTTATTCAGTATTCAAATAGAGATAAAGTTCAGACATGCGACAGTGCACTTCATTATCCTGTTTCCGACCCTGTAGGGAGGTAGCGAAACGCTCGGTTCTCAGCAGGATCGAACTGAATCCCCCTGATATGCTAATACAGGCATGCCTTCGTTCCTGCAGCTCCTGCGATGGTAATTCAACGGCAAAAATAAAAGGAAACGGCAGCTACATCAGTATGCAGCAGTACGCTTTGATTTTTGAATTATCGCGTTAATAATGAGATACGGAGATCGCTTTATACTTCAAAATGCCGGACTCGGTGTCTCTGCAGGCTGCATTTATTCTTTTTTGTATGGTGCATACTTTGACACAATGCCGCCAAAGGATGGGTGCGAATACTTTGGAGAGCACCAGCGGATGAATTGAATTTTAATAAACCATCTCCCTCCAATATAAGCATCTTTGTAGATTGGCGGATTGAATATCAACATATGTGCATTCCTGTGGCTGATCAGAGTAAATTATAAAATAGAAGGTTTATAAAAAATATTCAATAGACGCCTAAAACGGATGCATAGGAGTACACCAATAATTTAAATGTTGCTTTTCCAAGTTACATGGTATTAAAGTCGCCTGCTTTGATAACTCACTGATCACTCCCAACTATGCAAAAAAGAGGTCTTCAAGGTCTGAGAAGAAGGTCTAGCTGTAGAGCTTCTTTCGGACAGCTGGGAATACTAACTTTGCCAACCATATACGTTTAAGAAGAAATTCGCTTATCCTACAGGTTCCGACGCACAGATTGTCTAGAACAGAATGCATTCAGAATCGAATGGGTGCCCAACTAACAATTATTAGAGTTGCAAGAATGATTATACAGTATTCCTTACACAGCGTTGTATACTGTAAGAAGATTTGCAAAACCCTCTTAGAACAGCTATACAAGCGGAATGGGCACACCTAATAGGACACTTCAGATATTTAAGAGTTTGTATAAGGGCTGCAGGTAACAGTTATACAACAAAAGTGTAAGCCTCTTGCAGCCGCTATAAGACATTTGCGTCAGTGCAAGATTCAGTTTTTGTCAACTATACAACTATTCTGTTACGTGATTCTACTTTATTGCAACCAAACTATTTCTTATGTATTGTATAGACGAAGTGAAGAATATATAACTAACACAATACAGTCATCTTGTTTACTTACATATCGGCCATTGTGAATTTCATACCCAGGTATATGATACCCTTCTACACTGTGATATAGGGCTATTGAATTACTTGCGCAGCAACTTTTATTGTGATTATCGTGCAAAGTAGTTACGCAATTTCTACGGGCTTCGTATTTGATTCATATTTTGATAATGATCAAAAGTATGTATAGATTTTTAAAATGGAAAACTGAACTTATCTGCGTTAAATCTTCCACAAATCCTATATTTAGACACAATTACACTAATGTTTATCACTTTATGTCTGTAATTTCGAACTGAAACATAATTATTTAATATCAAATAGAGGAATAAATGTTTGCCCAATATGGCGGGTGGTTGTGTATAATCATGGCATCGTCCATGTTGTCTTTAGTTTATTAAAATATTTTGGTGTTACCTGCAGGTGTTATACAACAATTTGACAAATGTCAGAAATGAAATACCGACAGAGTCGAACGATTTACCTAGAATTTGTACCAGATCTGTATCTTCTGTTTGAACAGTTGATAAAACCTGTTTAACCAATATGCATGCGTTGTTTGTCTTAAAACACTGGATATCGCTTTTAACAAAAATATGACAGCAGAAAGTTAGGTTATGGTGAAGTTGTTTACCAACATAAATATTTAGAATATGTCCAGCCTTTAACAGTTACTAAACAACAGTTGTATAAGTGCTTCCGTTGAGAGCAATTTGTTGGCTCAAGTAGTAAATTTGCACAGCAAAACAACAAGGCTCGGGTTTGTTTTATAAACGTTACCATGGATGCCACAACACAACCATTTCGACTAACCTGCCAATATGCCGTATAAAATAGTTGTATAAACGTTTATGCAACAGCTAAAAATTTGTCCTATAAGGTGTTGTGTAACTATGCTATAAGAATATTTTAAACACCTAATTTTAGAGCAAATATGTTGCAGAAAGCAAATTTGCATTCCACACAACATTAAGCCAGGATTTTGGTGTTCAGGCAACAACAGTAGAGAGCTTTATGACTGAACGGTTCTTTTACCGAAAGCTTATAGCACTACTTTGCTAGTTGGGTGTTAGGTTGTTCAACAAATTGCCAAACATCCTCAGGGCCCTGCCACTCACTATTCTCATACATGATATTAAGGCACTATTAAAAAGTAAAGCATATTGCCCTTTGGATGAGTACTTATCAGATACCATGCTGAATGACCAATAGGAGTAATTCTGACAATACGGTTTATAATAGTCATCACTCTAATATCCTATATCTCAATTTCAGCAGTTACCGTTCTTATCTATTCTTATATTCCATGCTTTTCGGAAGTTTATCTATTTTATTTATATAATTTAAATATAGCAATATTTTAATCTATTTCTGCCACGTGTGTTCAATATTTGTTTTTAGTTAAATGTTTGTCCCTTTTATGTTTCAATGTTTGTTTAGTTTTAACTGTCTTGCAATAAATAATGTGTGTTATCTACTTATTTATTTTCTGTATATTTTTTACCCTATTGTTTCCATTGTTCTACATCATCTAACAGATCTAATGAAGAAATGCAATGGAAAAATACTGCTAAGGGTGTCAAAGCAAGTGGGTCGTCCTCAGAACAAAAATACCTCAAGAGGAGGGTCAACTATGCACTACATTTGATTTTAATGTAAACCTATAAAAATGTTTAAGAAACATTTTCGATAGTAGTTGCACATGCACGCTATCAAAAACATTCCTTTCTAGAACTTATTTTAATAAGATTCGTTTAAAATGCAACTGTCGTTAATCTACTCTTCGCGTACAATCCACATCGATTCCGTAAGCGCTAAAGCAGATTACAATATTAAATGGGATACTTACATGGTTCTATAGCCTGCGTTTCGTACAGCAGAAGTAGGAGATAAGTACAAATTGAGATAATCATCCTTAGGCTAAGATTCTTGGAATGTGATCATGCCATCTGCAAAAAAAATCAAAGTGTTAGGATTTTCCTTTCCATTATATGCCTTTCCTATAATTTATGCAGTACCTCGTGTCTAACGATAGAACTGTGAACATCGCCTGTGTATAAAGGAATACATTCTTCTGAGACACAGTATGTACTGAACCTTGACTAATAAGTAACGCCCAAACATTTATCCGGCTTTGGTGGACGGCCACGCTCAACCAGGAAGCTATTCGTTACGGTTTTTAAGTTCGCATTACTCAGGACATGATTTGGCTTAAATACATTCGATTTAATTCAGCAGCTGTTATGAAGAAACTTTTCAGAACTATTAAAGTGCATTTCAACACCTATGCCAGTCGTTCTCGACAAAGTGCTCATATAAGATGCATCCTAAAATACTGCTCACACGTCTGAGATACCGCGTCTCAGCTGCACTGTCTAGGAAAATGTTCAGATGAGGATACTTCGACTAGTTATTGACACATTCGTGGAAGATGGTTCAAGCATCTATCACACAGATAAGTGATTTGAATATTTTCAGGTGTATGCCAAAGTAAATTGGCAGCGGTAGATGCTTGATAAGATCCTTAGCTTTCTTGAGCTGTACACATCGTAAATCAACTGAGATGACCATTGCTTTGTTCCTGGGAACGTTTCACTCAATTCTTCTGAATTATTCAGTTCAGAAGCAAGCTTTCCCTGACTGCATTGCAGTCGCGGTACTGAGGTATTCACATCTCCATGGTTGGTATCAAGTACGATTTTTATTTAGGTAATATCTACTACGGTAGTTGGTAACCACACAGTCATCATCGATTCTTAGTTGAAAACAAAAGAATTTGCCTCTCAAGTTCCTGATAAATTCCTAACATACGAATGAAGACATATGCACATAACTATTTATCGCTCAGCCATTCGAGTTAATCCAAACGGACTACTGTTCAAAGCAAATAACACGATATCGATCTCCCATTTCCCTGCACCGCAAAATTATTCGCAAGTACGCAAGTGGCCTGGGTAGTGAAGGCGAACCGTGTCAATTCCAATTTTCCATCAGAATAAAACGAAACTGCTACTTAATACCCTTCCGTCTGCCTGATGCAACAATAACCGCAGCACTCCATCCTTGGAAGAATTTAATTTCCTGTAAGTCTACCTATCGGATGTCACCGACATCGCTTGAGCTGGCGCAAACATATCCAACGTCATAACCGCAAGTATAATCAGGATAATGCGATACTGATATTGTGCGGTCAGTGACGTCACAACCAGGAGAACAATACCGCTGCTGTTGTTACATATCTGATATCTTTATAAAATCATAATAAAGAGGTACTCGTATACTGAGATAAATAAATATAGATTCAAAGACAAACAAACGAGTGTTTCAATATCATCTGACAGCTCTTCGCAAGAATGCGGCATCAACCAATATCAAGTACCAGAATGAAACCTGGATCCTGATAGGGATAAATAGTTTCAGCGAACCGTCAAGATGGAAAAGCAATATACCGCAGACGAAATTCGCAAGATCGCATCCGGATCCAGGGGTAAACCTCAGAACTTTGATATCAATAAGATTAAGAGTAAGAGGAACCCAAATGCATCCAAAGGCAGCGACAAATCAATAAATAATGCTCAAGATAAGCGTAAAGGGCCATCGAAGCCAGACTTACCAGCACCAACCAACCCGCAGAAGAAAGCAACGCCGCAGATGAACGACGATCTTGCTTCCAACCCAAAATATTTGGGCCAGAAATGTCCCTGATGCCGAAGGAGCCAGAACAACGTTTTAGCGCGAACTTCGTAAAGGTTGTAGAAGTGTCATCCGAGCTATATTCAACATATTTAGCCGATGAGAAGCTACTAGAGCGCATGATAACGAAAGAAGAGCTAAGTTACCTTAGCACATTCTATCTATGGTCTAGACTGCTTGACATCAAAGCTAAAAACAAAAGCAGTCCATTGTCTACTGAGGAGAAAGAATTCAACAAAGCGGTGGAAGATGTTATTTTTAACATCCCACAGCTGTTGTTTATTTACCTTAGTAACATTGGCAATTACACCGACAGCATGGGAAAAGAAACTCAACTTGAGATTCCTCCTTTGCCCGTCCACGTTGTTCAGGGATTTGGTGGATATCACTCATCTAGTGTCACCGTCGCCACGCATAACCTTTTCGAGGAAATACCCTCTTTAGGAATAGCAGGCGATATGGTAATGGCATTAGCTTCGAGAGATGAAGAGCCGATACCTAATATCCGCATAGACAAGCCCGAGGGCACTGAGTTTACGAGCAACCTAGTTGGCAAGCTATCGCCAGTTGGCACTCGCAGGCCAGAGATTCCTCAAAGGCTTGTAGGCTACGGGAGGTGAAGCGCAAGTGGTTACCTCGTAGCCAAGCGAGAAGGGCGAACGGTTAGACTGGCGCTCACGTAGTGTCCAGAATTACTCAGCAGCGACAAGTTCCATAGGAGTAGTCGGCGTAGCGTGTTGCTATGGTTATCAGCTAAATAAAGATGATGGACCAGGCGAAACACTCAGCGCAAAGGCTACAAACTGGAGTTGTGTCATGGGCCGAGAATGGGAGATGTTTGCAGATTGGTACAACAATCGAAACGAACGCAGAAACATCCCACCAGGAATATAAAAATACTACAAAAGCTTTGCAATGTGACTTAACAAACGGATGCAGGAGGTTGCATGTTACTGCATGTTGGGACATGTCCATGACTTCATAGAATCCACATTCCTTCTTTTTGTGGATTTTGACCATTATCTTCTATTTCTTGTTATATACCTTTCTCCGCATGATCATTTTCTCTTTGTAGATCCTTTGGGCTTGAAGTACCATAGCAAGTGTCTCCTTTAAAATTCGAGGTCTTCTAGCCATTTTATACTACAATGTGTAGGTTGTCTCTTGTTGTGGACTTCGTGTGTCATTTTTTTCCTTCTCCATCTTAGTTTCCTCAGGTTACCCCCGTATCCGGATGTGTGGGCACGTGTATCTACTTTTGCAGTTGCATACGAGCATCTATTTCGGGCCTGATGAAGCCAACTAGCAGAAATACGTATCGCTCGGGTTACCTATCCTATTTTCTGCTCGAATTCACTTTCCTTCTTTTTGCGGATTTTGCCCATTATTTTCCTATATAAATACTATACCTGTATATACATATATAGATATATATATATACAGGATATATATATATATATATATATATAGTTATAGAGCTGTTATGTGCAGGTAAAGCCCTAGTTGCGCTGTATTGAGCAGCGAAGAACCGAGGTTGTAGAAGAAACTCTTCCCGAGAAGTCTCAAAATAAATACAAAAATATATCCCAGAAGCTTAAACATTTTGAGATTTGCCGACAATGGTCTCATCAAAAATTGGTTATGAGAATGTGAAAATTTAATATTATGTGATAAGGATGATTAACTATAGTTAATACATTGACTCTGAAGAAAGATATTAATATCCTGCAGCTGCGTACCAGGTATCTATATGTCTGCATTCGTCTACTAGGGAGTCTATCATCACCTAAGGCGCATAAAGGACAATCAAACCGTTTTCCTATCAATGTTGTATTTTAGGTTTAATAAATGTTGAATTATACTGTACTTTACATTTATTTTATTGGTCCTCCAATTATTTGCCTTTCTTTGAATCCAAGAGGACAAGAACCCCATCAGAATTTTAAAGCTTCAGTGAAGAACTTAATTTTTTTTATGTCACGTGTACGCGAGGTCATCAGTTTGCACCTAGCAACATAGGCAATCTAGTATAATATAAGCCCACAAGCGTATACATATGAATAGACATAAACCATTTAAATAATACTTTATTCAAAACCACTTTTCTTAGAAATCCTGTATACAATACTGATTGAAAAACTCGATACTAGGTTGTAGAGGTTTTGTATTGAACTTGTTTTGTCCTCACAGTATCAAGATACATCTACTTCATACTTTGGTCCCCCTCCAGTCAACTTAAGGCCATTATTGTTACATCAAGCTTAGTATTACGTTGCTGAAATACTGTGACATTTACAATGAAATTTTTGTATTAACTAACGCGTAGACCCAGGCAGAAGACCCGCAGACTCTTTTCTTTCACTCTCACAAAACCAAATTAAAATGTATCCGGGGTAATGTTACGAAGGGTGGGTTGCAGCCTAACAAGTTTTAACGGAATACGAAAGAAGGGATCAGACAATGGCATTCTTAAATTACGTCTGGAATTTGGTATTATCAAGTTACTTGAGCAGGTGGGGTCTGATCATCTGCTTCTTACAGTTCACAATAGGAAACTCAAATAGTAAGAATATTGGTCTTATGCAATTGGTATTGGTGCAATAATATCACACTGCAATATAAATACCACTGGCAGCCTGGTAAAATGAAGAGGAAGCTTGAACACAATATAGAATTATGTTCATAATAGCTTAGGGTGATAGTGACCGTCAACTGAACGAGAGTTCCATCATAATAGTTTACCTAAAAGAGAAACACATATTTTAATACTTCTAAAATGCAAACAGCTCAATATACAAAAAAATCACTTTTATTGTTGGTCAGATACATGGATGCAACACTTGATTACTCAACCAACGAGAATTTCAATAGAATGATTAATTTTCTGTGACACTCTTAGTAAACGTGTTTTATCGTTATACAAATATGTGAATAATACTGGAAATCACTGCATGGTAACATTTCAAAGATAGAGTGTGACAAAGAGAAACGTGATGAAACTGGAAAATAATAACGAACTGATTATTATTGATATAATTTTTTGGTTTTTTATACTCAGTTCGTCTGTCACTTAGGAAGACGATCGTTGGAATTCAACAGGATCCATTCCTCGTTGAATATATAAAGAGAAAAATATGAAGTTACATCAAAGTACATTATACGCTTATTCCGTCAAGATAAGTAATTCTATTGAGTCACACTGTACGTGAATATAGGATAATAGGTCAAAACAAAAGAAATTCATATGAAAACATTCATCATTCATTAATCATTGATACCATTGTATATAAATAGCATATACACTTAGATTGTACCGTAAGAATGAACTTCCAAATAAGTTCAATGAGCATACATTTAAGCAGATGTTTTTCTTTTTGTCTAATAATATACAAATGTTGGCGTTAAGTAGGTTGACTCTGTACGTCCCACGCAGCTGTCATCAACCAGATTATATTCGTTTATTTCCAAATCTAATGCCATTCAGGCTATGGTTAAAAGGTCAAAGCAATTAAATGTGAGGAATGGAGTCGAGCTACTAAACACAATATTTTAGGCAAACTGAATAACCACGTGGAGTAACCTAAAGCTGCCAAAAATTATACCCTTTTAGGAATAAGTTGATAAATAAAGCATAGCTGCTATTTGTTGGATCTATTCGCGTTTAATAGCCCAGTCATCAGATGACCGCTACATGGCTGACGATCCTGACTGTACAGTAGATGTGGTATACTTGCCACTGAATAAACTAAACATAATAGTCCGATCGACCAACGGAGAGCCAACCATTGATCTTCTGCCGTCAATATCACATCCCGAGCCTATTTCAATGAGAAGCTTTACGGAAGCATTTGTTATGATCTTCACACGATTCGAACATTCCATCATTCATAACACCCTTGCGTCGCCACTTTGCTACCGAATTAATTCTTAGACACGCAATTCCAATCCCTGATCTAACAAGAAAAGTTTGCATCACATCTTGAATACAGCATACGGGTATACATCCATACAACCATCAGCGCGACTCCGTAAGAGTACGTTAAATTTTTGCTTGAGAGCTCGTCCTAGGCTGCGAGAAGCTAATACGCATAATCATGTTGCCTGGCTAATGCTGTGTAGTCATCAGTGGGGTAAACGTTTTATACAGGTTGATTTAAAAGTCCCGAAACAGCAAGAGCGAGATATTTTGTTACATATTAGATCCTTGTACGTGATGACAGTATCTACTTTTATTTATAGAAATGAGAAACTACAGAAACAAGTAAGTCATAACTACTGTACTCGTGCAAATGTGGGCAGGCAAATAGAAATTCCCAAGAATAACAATAACCTAAACTTAAGATACATAACGTATATAGGACCAAATATATAACATTCTGCCAGAACACTTGAAAGAGTTGAAAAATATTAAAACATTTAGCACCAGCTGCAGAGAATATATTTTTGAGAATACTGCACAATTTGAAAGGTTTTTCTAATGATTTTTTGTATCATAGTATGATTGAACTACTGTTCGGGATTTTTTTATTGTATTTTATAATCCAATAAATAGCATTTTCTTTTCTTTTTAAGTCCGGATGATGAAAGCACATACAGGTGGTTTGAACCATCTAGGTGCATCTTTCTGTGATCAGGATGTCCTTGATGAAGAGGAATTATATTGTTGTGTTATATATTTATGTGTATTTATAATTTTTTTTATATGGTCTTTGTTGGATATTATTGTTATTAAATAAATAAAAATAAAAATAAAATAGAGATGATTTAAATTTGACCCTATACGTTTGACCTGTAGATTAGTAGAACGGTTACAAAACTTTACGGTTAGATGTTATGTTCGGTAAACATTATTTTGACCCTGAACTTTCCTAACCCAGGTTAGTTAAATCTAAAATTTCCCGCTCTGTACGTTTCTGGAATCTAACACAGTATAGCGTATCGTGCTAGACATTGATTTTACCGTCAGCATCGTGTTGAACATAAGTTTCATTAGAGTCAAGAGTCATTGGTCACTAGCCAGGAAATATGGCTGCTGACATTGATGCCTCAACTTTAGTAATATCCGTTAAATTATATCAATCAATGGTTATATACGGTGGTTTTGATAGGGCCGTCCCAGGTTGAAATAATATTCACCCAGAACCCAGGTAAACGAGAAATTTCCTGTCTATCCATTTTCGGGGACAAAAGTATACAGTACCAATAAATAGAATTGTCTTAACATTAATTTGACCGTCAAGATCACAGCAGAACTAACTTTCTAGGTCTAAGAATAATTTGAAGATCCTGCTGCCACTGGGCAATATTTTCAAACGGGTATTTTTTACGATATCAACTAAACTATAAGGTGACATTACAAAAAACCTGGACATTGATTTTACCTTCCTGCCCGAACTGTGAGATTCTGCAGAAATAAGGCATACTCTCTAAAACTTGACAGTCGCTCACCATAATACCTCCCACCACGGTGATGCTTGTAGCATTTCGTCATGGCGGGCTAAGTTGAGCCAACAATTCTCCAATTTTGCCATGAAAACCAAGCTTGAAGTAGGTTTAAAATAAACTAATCTCGAAGCACTATTCAAGGTCCTGTAAAGAAAGATTGAACTTTAATTTATATTCTTGAACACCTCAATATCATCATTTTCAACCAAGTTTTTAACCATTGAATATACCCGCAAGACAATTTTTTCAGTTTTTCTGGATCCTTTAGAACAAACAAGGCATCCATCTTATTCAATTTAATGTCTGAAAAGCCATAAAATGGGTATATCCAATGCTTAAAAACTCGGTTAGAAATCATAATTTTTCAGCTAGCCAAGTATCTAGATTAAAGTTCAGACCTTGCTTTAGTAAGTGAATATAAAATAAATAAATACGAAAAGTGTTTTGAGTTTACTTTACGTTTAACGCTGTCCGTCAGGCCAAAATTGACGAACTTTTGTTTTTTTTCATATTGTGCCTGTGTAGCGGCACAGCCTATCAATATTACCCCCATGAATTACATGTTTGGCAACCTTGTCAGCAGTGAGCCTCTCACCAAGCGTCGATTCCAGCTGACTCCGGTAGTCAACCCATCTATTTCCTACCATTTCCAGGTTGCTGTCAAAATAACCATGTCCATTGAGGAACTGTGTAGTATAGTAATCTATCCGCACCACTCATTTGCCAATTCGAGTTTGTCTTGGATCAGTCTTATAGTCCAAATAATATAGTCAGTTGCATCCCATGTTTCCTGACATCTGACAAAAAACGCCTCTCTTTCGTTGCTTCTAGCTTCGGCGCCCTTTTTGTAGAGCGCGCTTCTTTCCTCATCCCGCAAGTTAATTGGCGGGATACCAGCCACCAGCAGTGCGTCAGTCGACATGGCTCTGTACGCGCAGATCAGTTGTCTATATTTCTTCCTCCTCAAAGGTCTGTATATATAGGGATATTTGGATTGGGAACCTCCGTCGTCACGTTACTGTGTGGTATTGTATATATGCTATCTGCTCCTGCTCCCCTATACATCAACCACCTATCCCTCATGTATATGCATGGCATGGTAATGCTCCGCCGCTCTCAAAAGTACCTAAAAGTCCACGCACAATCTATATTCGGCGCGGCATTGGCGGCATGAATTTCAAGTTTGATGGTCCGTGAGCTGCATTAAATTAGGCCTCACAAGGCGCTGCTCGTAATTCATTCAGGGCTGCATTGCACTTCAAAGTGCTGCTACTCGCAGCCCCGAGGTGAGAGTAAATTTAGTAATTGGGGTAATATTTTCGCCCAAGTGGCTTGCCGAGGTGAGATTTGTTTGAGACAAGCTAGGACAGAGTTATTGCTCGGTAGATGTACGGGAAGTTTGGCACTATATCTATCACTCTGTGATATTAATGTTCTTTGTTGTATTGGTTGGTGTCGCTTTGTTGAGGTGGATTTTGCGCACCGGAAAGCTTAGATTGATTTGTGGACCGAGAATAATCATTGGCCAAAAATTGCTTCAAGTGGAATGACTTTCTACTTCCCACGCCTTAAAGAAACATTTTCTAGTACAATTTTCCATGTAGTGCCATGACTTCAAAAAGATGTAGGTTTTGTCAAAACCATTAATGCAATATTTGGATTTTTCATGAAAAAAATACACCTCAGATTGTAGCAATGAGCGTGTCCGTACATGGTAGCCACATTCCTTTGAAGCTCTGGTACAACAATGTTTTTCAACAATGTTTGATAACCGATTACAATACCCCTTGATACGTAATTATCTACTATACAGGGTGTTTCAGTTTATTGTTGCATTCGATAGAACTTTTAAAATTAATGCATAAAGTCTATATAAACATGGGTCGAAAAATGCGTGGCTTCCGAAATACAGTGTGTTTAAATTTACTTACTAAAATAGTTTTTTTTTAAATATTTCGAACAATATTTGATGTATAACAGTGAAAATTGGTATACAAGGGTTTTTTGGTACGACAAAACGAACCATGGGCATAGTTTTACTGTAGCCGCTAGAGGACGCTCTCTACTGTACCTGTAGTGTATTAAAATGACCGAAAATTGGTTCTTAGTGCAATTTTTTGCTTTTTGAATAAAAAAACTGATTCTTCGCACTTTTCGACATAAAAAAGCTCTCTTGTGAGTTTTTGTTATAGTTAGCTGTTTTTGAGATATTTCGATTTTTAAGGTTCGATGCATTTTTAATTATTTATGGGAAAATAATATTATTTTTTACATTTTCGATTTGGGCATTACAAGTATACGTAATTAAGATGATCGTTTAGATTGTGTTTTTAAACACAGCAATAATTCCTAACTCTAAATAAACACAAAAAAAAACAGAATATTAATTTGTTTAATTTTCCAATATTATTTTTAACAAATTAAATTAATTATTTACAACTAAAATGCTATGGATAGTTAGGACAAACATTAAAAATCTCGAGTAGTTGCTCGAAATGTAAACCCAATTGTTCAATACACAATTCACATCTACGAGTGATCGAACGTGGTATAGCATTATTCAAATAATGGAATACACACAAAGACGGCCGAAAAATACTTTAGTTCATATCCAATTAACAATCACCATAAACATTATCAATAAGACTGAGTTGAGTGATCAGATATGAGCAAAGGGATCAAAAGGCGTAGTGAAGAAAAATCAACTCAGGTGTCAAAAAAGATGGATTCTGGAACAATAAATAACGATATCTCTCAAGCTACTGCGTCTATTGGTGATGAGTTCATGGAGAGAATCTCCTATCAGGGCTATAATCCCATTAAGATGCGTACAATATTGACAAGTAGGGAACCCAGTGTCATAACATTTACAACTGACATAGCGAAGTTGATTATGATTTATTTGGTTAGAGGAACTAATCTGAAGAAAACAATGGCTAAAACTGATCCTGAAGCAGTGGCTGAGGTGAGCAAGCTTAAGGAGAAATACCGAATTCAGGAGCTTGGGACAAAACTTACTACAGAGTCCGTTACTATGCAAAGAATAGCAGCTTGTTTTCCAGAGGAGGTAATGAAAGCAATACTTGTGCTAGATAACACTGGAAGATTTAGCAGAATTACCAGTGAATTACCAGAAGAGTTCCCTATAGTATTGATGACTCCTGTTGCTGCTTCTGTGTTCCCAAGACGAGAAGGAAAAGCAAATGATAGACTCTTGGAAGCCCACTTCATGTTTCTGAAGGAGATGGATGCTGTCATCAATCCTGAAGATACATCTAAAGTCAAGCTGGAGAAATATCAGATGGCAGCTCACAATAGTCCTACAGAAGCACAAAGGAAGACTATATGTGAGGGATTTGATTTACCTATTGAGACTGATCAAGGTTATCTTGTGAGTACCAAGGTGATTGATGCTATTAAATCTTATTATGGAGATTAATAGGTTATAACTAAACTAAGGAAGTGCAGTTGTAAAAGTAATTGCCAAAAAGCTAAATCCTTCAGATTTTAATCACCTCAGAGGAATAAGCATCTCACCAGCATTGTCAAAATTATTAGAAAAAGCGGTTGAGTTGCAATTAATGGAACATCTATCAAAGTTTTCTTTGCTTTCTCCATTCCAATCTGGTTTTAGGAAGAATTTTAGCTGTACAACTGCACTTCTACATGTAACAGATGACATTATCAGAGCCACTGATCAGGGAAGGTGTACAGTTTTGATAATGTAGGATTTTAGTCGAACTTTCGATACGATCAATTTTAATTTACTCCTAAATATATTGCATTTTATAAGCCTCAATTCGGATAGTGTCAACTTTTTCAGTAAATATCTAAAGAGCAGAAAGCAGAAGGTTTCTTGGAGGGAAGTTATTCTAACGTATTAGCCTTAAAATCAGGCGTGCCGCAAGGCTCTATTATGGGTCCACTCCTTTTTGCAATTTATACTTCATACCTGGGCAAAGGCTTAAATACTTGCAAAATGCACTGCTATGCTGATGACACTCAGCTGTATCATACTTTTCTACCCAGTGATGTGGACATTGTGAGAGCAACCATCAACAGAGATTTATCATTATCGACAAAGAATGCCGAAGAACATTGTTTACATCTTAACTCTGGCAAATCTAAAGTAATTGTATTTGGGCCAAAGCATGCGCGCCAGGCTGTTACTAACTCAATTAACTTTACCATCAATGCACAACAACTTGAAACTGTCAGTGAAGCAAAGAACTTGCGAATTGGTTGAACATGGAAACAAGAAGATTTTTGCATGCCGCAACATTATATAATAATTAATTTTGTATAACACCCCACTTATTTGAAAAAGTTACATTTCAGACAGATGTGCATAACATCAATATAAGATCCAGGGGGTTGTTGACACCGCCGATATTCCGAACAGCCCAATTTGAACGATCGTTCAGCTATCAAATTTGTTCCATTTATAACACCCTTCCGGTACAATATAAAACTCTGAGCATCTCTAGTTTCAGCATGTAACCATGTTTCATGAAATATTGATACAAGTTTATGTTTCTTTTATAGTAGATGTATTAATGTAAGCACTGCATATACATCTAGTAACTGTAATGTGTAAAATAAGTAGGTCTCACTCACCTTTTGTACAGACTTTTTATAGCGGGTTAAGTGGAAGAGCAGCTACAGCTGAACTTCGTCCGTATTTGGCTATTTTTTATATACTCAGTCTATTTGGAAATAAAGACGTTTATTATTATTATTCTTATTATTATTAGAGGCCTTATTTCATGACATGCATTCCTGATTCTGCTTATTAGCATATCTCTTGTGGTTACGGGAGTCTGGTACACTTTTTCTTTTAGAAATCCCCACACAAAGAAATCTAATGGATTCAGGTCAGGGGATCGTGGAGGCCAGGCGACTGGTCCTCCACGGCCGATCCATCTTTCTGAATAGAACCAGGCCAAGCTTCTTAAATCTAACATAACATCATCCCACATATTTGCATGTTCAGCCTTTAAAAATTCCAAGAAGGCCGCAGCATTTAACCTTGCAGGCAAAAGGTAGGGTCCAAACAGTCGATTACGGTAGATACCAATCCACACGTTCACACTAAATTCATGCTGAAAATTTCTTTCCCGACTGCATGCAGATTTTCATGCGAC